TGACTCAGAATATCTTCACACCCCACAAGGCATGATCACTGTGTCTCAAAATTTTCTGAGGGCTCCTCATGTTCAAGATCTTCCCTGGAATGGAGATGATTTTCTCTCAACTGAATCAGGTCAAAATAACATTGGTACTGAGGGTGTTGCACCTCATGTTGACAACACTTCTAACCTTCTTGTGTCTGTTCCTAGAGATCTTCTATTGCAGCAGCTTACTCATTCTCTAGCTCAGATTACCTATCATCAGTCCATGGTGGAGATGATTCAGAAGGCTCTTTCTGATCAAAAAGGGGGAGAAAAAGATCATGAAACTGAAGCAGGAACATCTCATCCTTTGGATGCTAGAGGCAGAGAGCAAGGAGTCAATGAAGAGGAAGCAAAGAAAGAGGGGGAAGCTCAAGAAGAAAGCAGTGGATCTAGTGATGGAGGAGGAGCAGCAGCCGAAACTGAGGAGACCTTGGAGACTTTGGATATTTTACTTTAGATTGTTTTCATGAACAATATTTTTTGTTTGTGTTTTGTTTATTTTCCCTCTGAACTTTTGTTTAGGACTGCACTTTGATTATTTATTTTGTTGGACTATCTTGCTGAATTTGGTTTTAATTTATTGTTTCTATGTTTTTTCAAATGGTATCAAATTCAGGGGGAGTTCAAGTAATATCTCAGGGGGAGTCTTTGACTACGATTTAGCTTTGATCAGAAAGTTAAAAAGGGGGAGTTTGAAACACGTGAATTAATTTCACTATGTGTTTTTAACTTTTCTTAACTTCTAAACTAAATCTTAGTTAGTGGGCTAAGTAGGGTTAAGTAGTGCTTAGTGGATTTAATTATGGAATTTATCTTATCTTCCTAACTAACCCACTAACCCATTATCTTGAGTGCTCTTGTGGTTGGTTTTCTTGCAGATCATGGGCTGAAGAGTGGAAGCTTGGCAAGTCTATAAATACCAAACTCAAGACTCAAGATTAATACAGATTTCGAGGAAACAAAAATAGAGCTGAAATTTTAATCTCGAGAATTTTAGTGTGTTTTCTAGGATCTGTTGTACGTACTATTTATGAGTACATTCTTTGAAATCTAGAATTTTTGATATCTTTCTTTTAGTATCTAGATTTGGTTGTAAGAGTGATCTTGAAAAAGATTCACTCATAAGGAAGAAGTTTTCGCACTCTTCTGTTTGTATTCTTGGAATACTGATTTTAATATATTCTTTTTCCGTCCTGTAAAGGACAAGTTCACAAGTCTTTACTTGTGAACATTTTTAATTCTGAGCATTGTCTTTTAATAGTTATATTTCCGCTGCATGTTGTCTCAAGTGTCATAACATTTTAGATAACATCTCTGTATAATACGAATTCGGGACCATAAATTCTTTCAATAACTGAAAAACATTATTACATAAAAATTATAAACAATGGATACTTACAATAAAAACATGAGGCGAATGGAGAAGCACATTTTGGATGTTATTTTTCAATTGTTGCCAAATGTGGCTGGTAAAGAATGTGCGAATTAGGTGTAAAAAAGGGAAACAAAAAGTGATCTTTTCGCATCGGCAGCAGTGTGCACTTGAAAATATTTTGCAAGGGAAAGAAGAAACAGTGGCCCCTCTCTCTCTTGTTCGGAAATCCAATAGCTCTCTCTTGTTCGGAATCCATTAGCACAAAGAAGCAGCTAATTAATTAAACCTGAAGCTAATGGGATATAGTAGTTGGAGGTAAGAGACCATGCTAATTGCAAACCAGCCTTTTTGTTTCAAAATCGAACCGAATATAGATTCAATCTAGTACTTATAATAAATCAAGATAACAGAATATTCTGATCTACTGATGAGAACACGCCTAGTTTCACTGAAACAAATTCCGGCCGTCTCTAACAACAATTAACCTCAATGGCGTGCTGATATTTGCAAGAAATCAAGCTTTTAAAGTTGGTAGTGATATGGATAGAGAAAGAGACTAGCAAGCACCACATGCGTTGCACGTGATTACGTACGATTTTCCTTAGTATATAACTTATTATTAATTAATAAAAGTACATACTATATTTTACAAAAAAATATATTTTTAAATAAAATTATTCTAAAATTATATTAATAAGAACATAAAACCACAAGAAAATAACTAAAATAAATTATTATATATTAATTCATGCATGGAAAATGCTCATTTTTTTTTTTCTTAATTTGTTGTGATAGTTGATAATTTTCATTATCTTGTATTTCTCTGTATAATTATTGTTTGAAACAATTAAGTATTTTTCGTGTTACTCGTATGTTACTCTGGTCAAATTTACCAACAATTTTCTTAAAGAAATTTTAAATTTACTTCATCAGGATCCTGATATTTGGTGTGAGTACAACTACAGTGCCTCTAATTTGAAAAATGCATATCTCCCTTGAATTTGGATAGTAACTAAGACTTACTTCATTTGATCATTTACTTTTTTTTAAATTATATTTTCACTTCTGACCAAATATTGAGTAAACTATATTGACCTTCCTTCGGTCTAATTGTACGTATACGCCATTATATTTACTTTCTTTCTTTGACCTCAAAATTCATCCACGTCTATTACTTAAATATTTACTTTACTTTCATAAATTCTTTTATTAATATTGAAGTTTGAGCTACAATATAATATTTATAAAATTTACTTAAGTAAACAATAAGACTAATAATCATTAAGTACTCCCCATGTCCCATATTATTTGTCTATTTGGGGTATTTTTTTTGTATCAAATTATTTATCATTTTAGAGTTTCACAATAAAACATTAATCGTATTTTTATTAATTTTGTCACTTACCACTCTTAATTAGTTAATTGAAAAATAATTAATGTCAACGGTATTTTAGTATTTACTATATTATTTTTAGTATAATATATGCATATTTATTAAGTTTCTTAATATACGTGCAACCACCCTAAACGACATCTAATATAGGACAGAGGGAGTATATAATAAGGCTAATTATTACATCTAAATATTAAAAATGCATTAAACGTAGAGCCCTCAATTTAAAAATAAAAAGTCATTTTTATGTGATTACTTATTTATATACATATGCTATGAGCTAATTGCATAAAACCACCTGTGTAATCTCGAATGGCCGAAAAAGCCCTCGTGTTAAAAAAATTAGGAAGAACCCCCTTATGTTATCTTCTATAAAGCACACTGCCCCTTATTTCGCTTTTTGTTGTTGACTTAAGGGAAATGACAAAATTACCCTGAATAAAAATTTAAACAAAATAAATATACCCAACCCAAAAAAAATTGAAAAAAAAGGTATCAAAAGAAAATTAAAATAAAAAATAAAATTAAAAATCAAAATCAAAATGAAAATCAAAATCAAATTAGTGTTTAATTGTTCTTCTCCATCAAACCACCCCACCCCCAACCCAAATCCAAATATAGACAACCACTATCCATGAAAGCTCTCTAATGATGCATCAACCGTCGCACACGTCCGGGAACCATCGTCTACCTGCAATTGCAGCAGCGTGCGGTGGATCTTGCCATCGTGAGTGAGGTACGGTGATTATGGCGGCGGCTTTGGTGGCGGTGGTTATAGCGGTGGCCGTGGTGAAGGTGGTTTTGGAGTCGACCTCACTCATGTACGAATCAAAGATTACAGAATTTTGAATCGAGGTTTGGGAGGTATGCTGCCAACCCTCGAACCTAAGAACGAATTGCAGCCGGTTTAGATCTATTTTTTGCTGCCGACTTCCAAACGACGCCGTTTCGGAGGTGAGCTCGACGATGCCATTTCGGGGTAGAAATCGAGATTGATGTTTTATGATGACGAAGACGTCAGAGATGGTGTGAAGCTAGTTGAGTGAACTTTTTTGTTTATTTTGGAGAAGATGGTTTTTTTGAAAAGGTTAAGGATTGAATTGAATTTTTTTGAAAACTTCATTTTGGGGCATATTGAATTTCGATGTGAATTTGTAATTTTTGAAATTTATAATTTAAAGGGCATTTTGGTCCTTTCCGGCTGAAAAATATCCCCACAGTCGCACAATCCGCGTGTGGAGCACACGATAAGCTGGGAGGGGCCTTATTGCCTTTGACTAATCTTTATATGGGGGTTATTGCTAATTTTTTTAACACGAGAATTTTTTCTGCAATTTTAGATTACACGGGGGTGGTTTTTGCAAAAAACCTTAATATTTATTCTATCTTGTTGTAGTTTAGGAGGAGAACCAAATTTATGTAAAAACTTCAAATTTAAAAAGATTAATTGCAAATTTCGGTAGAATTTAGGAAATATTAGAAACAAATAATGACAATAAAACCTTGCTTATCTTTATAATAAAGAAAGAAACTATGGGCATGCAACTCTAAAAAACCCTAATAATATATATGTAATTATTTATTTTTAATATTTTTCTTGTACTAATTTCTAATTATAATTTTCAACAATTATCAATTTCCTATTTTTCATCAATATATCTCAAATCTTAAGAGATAAATATAGAAATTCGATTTGTGAAATCTTAATATGTAACATTTA